GTGGGCAGGGCAGCCTTGACAGAATCAAGGTAGAGGGTGGGGAAGGAAAGTGAGGAAGGAGAACTTGGGGATCCAGGAGTCAGACCCTGAGTCGGAAAGTCCCTCTGCTCCAGACTCCCACTTCGCACACAAGGATACCAAAGCCCAGATGCCTCCCTGCATCCGGGACATCTCAGTCCCATTATCAGAAGCCTGGGGATGGTCAGTGTGACCCGAGGGAGGATCAGGCTGACTATGCCAGCCCAGAAGATGACACCTGTGAGGAGAAGTCCCCTCCCCTGGAAACAGCAGCTCAAACTGCCTGGTCCTGGAGCAGCTTGTTTCGCATGCTTGTCTGAGGATATGAACTGACCCCCGGGGCATGAAGCACCCAAGCCAGGACGGTCCTTGCAAATTGCCCTTCCACTCAAGCAGGTGGCTCAGCAAGGTCACAGTCAGTGTCTCGGTTGACCAGTGACACCCAGACCCACCCAGTTCAGCCCAGGGTAGGGGGTAATTAGTCAGAGACTGTCTGAGGTACGGGCATCTTAGAGGCCATTTTCCAGGCCCACTCCGGTCTCCATTCAACATTCTTTCCCCACTAGCCTAAGGCTGCTTGGCTTGAGGAGGAAGCTCCCGCTGGCGTGCTGGGGCCACTGGAACCTTGGACAGTGTTTGAGTTCTTCCTCTGACCTAGCAAAAACTTCACCACTTCTGGGTCTTCCCTGGACCCCATTTCCTTTGAAATGGCATAGAACAAGACACCTGGTATCTGCTTGCTAATGGATTCAACACTAAATAAATCCACACTCCCCACCTGGCTGTGGCTGTCAGCGTGTAACAGAGTGTTCCGGTTGGAAGACACCATTACAAATCACGCTTCCTTTAGCGACCTGAGACCCCCTTCTCCCTTCCTGCCATCTCTTGCCTTGATGCCTTGGTCCAAGACATGAGAGAAAATCTTATCCCAAAAGTCAAAGCCATGGATATCTAGGGCTCAAGATATGTAAACCTGTGGGACAGAGGCTTCTAAAATAAAACCTTTTCAGAAGGCCACAGGGTCATGGGCCAACAGGCATCTGCTCCCCAAGAGCACACACAGCAGGTGTTAAAGACGACCAGTCCCAGCTGCCAGCTCACACATGCCACATTCATCCATTCAGGAGTGTGCCCACCCTGAGTACCCACTGTTCATTAAGCCCCACACAGCCCCATGAGAGGAAAGCTAAGCACATGCTTAGCTTGAGGAACTCCTGTTTTTGCTTGAGGAACTCCTGTTAAGAAAACGAACCTACAGAGAGCCACCATAATGCAGACTAGACGCCGCATATCAAACAGGAAACTGAGACAGTGCCTTTCTTATTGCTGTTTTCAGGAGTTACCACAACCCCGGAACAAGTCTCACGGGGTTGAGAGGAGGGGCCAGGACGGCTGTGTTCCACCGGAGGCTGGGAAGAACGTGTTCCATACCTTTCCAGTGCAGGCTACCACATTCCTTGAATCCTGGCTTCTCTCGCCATGTTCCAAGTCAGCAGCACCATACCGTCTCTCCTGCCTCTTTCTTTTGCTGGACTCCTGTGGTCACACAGGGCTCTTTAGGTAACCCAAGGGCCTTCCGCTGAATCCTTGATCTAATGACTTCTACAGAGTCTCCTTTGTGGTTTAAGATAGCATATCCAAATGGCCTGGGATTAGGAAGGGGGCATATCTGAGGCTTTTAATGTGCCTCCCACGGCTGGAGGACAGCAAACTCTCCCTGTGGGAATGACTACACTGGACTGGATTGAGGCCTTACTAGATTTCTATGCAGAAGCCCTTGGGATGAGTGGGAGATGATACAGAAGGAGACATGCCCTCTCATGAAGTAGGAAAGCATAGTTTATTTTTGTCTTTGGTTTGATTATTTGTTTTTAAGAAAGAGCCGGGATCTGCTTGATTGCTTCCAGTCCTGAGAGGCTTACTACCCTTCAAGGGGCAATCAGGCATCAGGGCTCAACTAAGGAAGATTTTCTCCTTGCAGATCTGTTAACTAAACTACAGTCCCAATGCCTCTATCATTGCTGGAAATATTAATACACACCCCCCCCCCCCCGCACGGTGCTCAGTGACTTTAGCTAGAGCACAGTGAGGGCTGTGCAAGGGAGGGTCAGCGTGCACAGTGGTCTAAGAGACCCAAGAGGTTCCCTGAGGCTCATCTTGGGGCAGCCTGTGTTTGCCCTAAGTCCCTTTGGTAGGTTGCAAGTCAACATTTTAGCAGAGACTATCTTTGTCAAAGCTGGGCAGGTGGCCAAATTTCACCGACGCCATCTCCTCTACTCCAAATCAACTGAAAAGAACCCAAGCTGAGGATAAATCTAAACTTTGAGCTTAAAGAGGACCGAAAAGCCGATACTGACATTTTTCTTTTCTCTTTTTACGTCACAGGGAAGTAAGTTGGTGAGGGCTTGGAGTTCTTGTCTTGGGGGGGGGGGGTTCTGGCAGCTTCAGCCAGGTGTCTCTGCGGGAGAGGGAGGGAGGAGCTTTGGCGGTGGGAGTATCTGGATGTAGGGGGGACCTAGGGAAGGCTTGCTTCGAAGCCCTTCCATACACCTGTTCTCTCTATCACTTTATTGGCCCGTCTCTCGGGTGGAGGAAGTAGAGCAGACACAAGCTTGCTCTCCCGGAGAACAGTGACAGGCGGACTCCTCCCTGCCCAACAGAGCTTCTGTGGGAACAACGCTTGTCTTTGCTTTACCATCTTTGACTCGGAACACCCTGGGAAGAATGGGGAAACTGAGTCAGTGGAGAGCTGCGGGCCTTGGCTCCTGCTGGGTAGCCGCTGTCAGCAATGGCCCACCCTTAAAATCCTGCCTTTCTCTCCCTCCCTTCCTTCTTTGCTTTCTCTCCATCCATTTCCCCTTTTGTATTCCGATTTCCTCTTCTTTCGCACCCAAAGCCAAGCCCTCCCCCCTGCCCCCACTAATATGCAGCTCTCAGGGACGGCTGACCATGCGCATGCGTGTTCCTTTGATTGGCAGGCCTTTGTATCAGTTGGTCTGGTCCACGCCAGGGGAAACAGGTGTGGGCACTTGATAGCTGGGAGACTGGCGATCCTGCGACAGCTCCCCTGTCACCAAAGGAACTTACTCCTCCACTCTGGACCTCATGTTCTCTTCAGCCGTAAAGAGGGCTGATACTGCCTCCCTCCTGGGTGGTGGTAAGGACAACTGAGATCCCAGCGGAGGGCCCAGCGGAGGGCGTGCTTAATGTTCACTAAAGCTACATTGGCGGCACAGCCCCTGGAATGCAGAGCTCTCCCGAGGCCTGGATTTAGAAACAGCAGGGCCAGTGCTGACTAATGAAACCCGGGAATCACTGGCCCCCACAACCAGGCAGGTACTGGGTGGAGGCTGTTATTGTTTTCTCCCCTCGGGTGTCAGCCTCTCACTGCAGACCAGCCACTGGACTCAATGAATGTTTGTTTCTTTATGATGTTGATGGATCATCCTGTAACATTCCAGGGCCTAATAAGGGGGTGCAGGCTGTTGGGGAGTGAGTCCTGGAATCTCCCTGCCTGGAGCACACCCTGGAAGGAATGGTGATTTTTGTTTTTTAAAGGCTGGGAAGCCCAGAGAAACTTCTGTCCGAACAGACAGAGCCAGTTCCAACATGAGCAGAGGTCAAGACCTCCATCTGCTGAGGTTCTAGGAAGGTAAATCAAGCAGAGCCCACAATGGGAGGTTGGGGGTGACAAGACACAGTACAGGAGGGACCAGGGCAAGGAGGACCTGGTTCTTCCCAGAAGACAGGGCAACTTCCAGAATACAGACTTAATATGAGGTATGGCCTCCCTTTCCAAGGACCGTACCTGGAAGGCAGTGAAGGAATTGAAATGGCATAAGGCTCAGTGTCACAGGCAGTGGAGAGGGTCATCCATGGACTTCATAGTCCAGCGGGATCCAGCTGAGGGAGCAGTAGGTGAGGAGGAAGCCGCAGCCAGTGTGGGTGGAGAGATGCCATCTCCTTCACAGAGCTTCACTGAGGGCTGAAGAAGGTTTGAGATGTGAGGCTGAACGCCAGGGAGTTGACAGCTGCTTCTGCTTCCACTCCAGGGGAGCAGGAGAAAGAATCAAGTCCTTTAAGGAGATAACCAAGTCTCGGACAGACAAAATGCTCCATGCAGGACAGGGAAACTGCATCCATGAACTCTCTATGGTCACCTGAACAGGGCAGCAGAATGGCAGCACCTGTTGACATGCCAACGGGGACAGGGACAGGGGAAATTCCACAAGGTCCTGCCCCTAGATGAAAAGCTGCGGGTGGGCAATGCCTGGTGAGAGATTGGTGGGTCGGGGTGTCCGTTTCCTTCAGGAACCACCTCCCACATAGGCTGTCCAATTCCAAGTGGTCAGATCTGGACATGTCCGTACAGGTAACACTAAATGGACTCAGTAGGTTGGACGGACGGGGACACACACACATTTAAAGATGTCATAAATTTGGTAGGAACCCAGGGAGGCACAAGAGGAGTTGGAGTAGGGAGGAGTGATGTGGATGAAGTTCTCAATAGATAGACAGACAGATAGATAGGTAGATAGACAGACAGACAGACAGCTTGCTATCCCTGTGGTCTAAAATAAATCTTGCCCTCAATAACTCTTTCATGTGTGCACAGAGCTCCCAAAGTTGGTTATTTTCCTTGCTTCAGTTTTAAAATATGAAGTAATAACCAAGGATTCAAGAGGAATAAGAAACAATAAAGGCATCTCAGAGGGAACATATTTGTACACCAAGACCTTATATAAATTAAAAGGATCTTTAAAAAAAAAAAAAACAACAACAACTCTGTGAGTTCGAGGCCAGCCTGGTCTCCAAAGCACGTTCCAGGAAAGGCGCAAAGCTACACAGAGAAACCCTGTCTCGAAAAACCAAAAAAAAAAAAAAAAAAAAAAAAAAACCTCAAACTCAATAAGCTTTCAGAGCCTAAGGAAACTTCAAAATTCAGGCATAAGAATGTATAAAATATAAGGATGTAAAACACATTTATTGAGTAGCTTTATTGTTTGATAAAGAGAAAAAGGGATAAAGTCAAGAAGAGGGATTTTCAATATTATCTGTTTAAAGACTGAATCAAATAGAACAAAGTCTGACTATTTCATGAAGCTGGCTGAAGTGTTCGGAGCTGTCCTCCACACCTTGGTTCTGAATGTCTTGGCATTTGGGACAACATCACGGCTGGTGGGACCCCAGGGCACAACCCCCCGGAAGTGAGCATTTTGTTTCACTCATGGCTCCGACTCTCTACTTACCAGAGAGCTTGGGATAGAAGAGTAAATCAATTTGCCAAATGAAGCAACACATGAAGAGGCAATGAGAGACGTTAGAACACAGTGGATTCTGGAATCGCTGATCCACACAGCTGCCGCTGGCCCCCAGGGACCAGCCCATTGTCATTAACTGGCAGGGATTACCTCGTGTGGCCCTTGCAACACTGGGAGGAAGGGGGCAATTGTTACCCTCATCCTACAGGTGAACAAAACAGGCTCCATGCTAGAAATCATGCCTGGGAGAATAGTGCTTAGAATTGAGTCTGCATGTCAAAAAAAAAAAAAATCTGGATTTTAAGCTATAAGCGGCTCCAAATTTTTTGAAATAAACAAGACAAAAATTGCCCAAGGAGTTCATAGCACAAGAGGCCAATTAAACAGATACCCTAAAATCGCACCCAGGACCAGCACATAGCATACAGAAGGCACATAGCCAGGAATAGGGAGGGCATCACCAAGGAGGCGATATTGGTGAAGTAAATGCAGAGAGACGTCAGGATCCAGCTCTTTCTCCTCCACATACCCCTGATGGTGTTGGGAAGATCCGTGGCTGTGGCCTGTAAGCACAGAACCCGAGCACACGGGACTGAGGCCACCGGGAGACAGATACAGCTGGTTTGGCTATAACCTCCAGTCTGAGAAAGTTTTCTCTTGTCTATACAGAGGGTGAGAATATCTTCTTTAGAAATCATGGTACCCGCTGAGTGTGACGGCCCAAGCCTCTAATCCCAGAGTCGGGTTCAAAAGCAGCCTGGGCAGCATAGTGAGACAGTGTCTCAAAAATATGAGGGTGTGGGTGGGTGGGGGGATGAGAATGTAACCGCATACTCTTTAATGGTAGCTATCATCCCCTGGGCGGTTTTTGTATGCAGGGCACTGGGTAAAGTCTTTGTTTTATTACCTTTAATTCTCACAGTGACCCCTCTGAGGCAGGTACTGTTTTGTCCCCTTTCAGGGACGAGGAAACCCAGGCTTACAGAATGTGTGTACAAAGTCCCCAAGGGTTAGTACGTGGGGACATGAGACCCAAGTTGTCAGCTCCCAGTGCATGTGTTTAACCACTGCCTCTCACAAGCACAGACAGCCAATTAAGGCAACAAGGGTTTAATTGCTTGCAATTGGAAGGATAAATGAGAATGTGATACAAGCGCAGTCCATGGAAACCAAGCTATCATTACGTCCATGAACACCTATCACATGGTCACCGCTCCATAAATGCTTGTGAAATGAGATGGCATTTACCTCTAGGAAATGGGAACCAATGACACATTGCCCTGGTGCAAAGCAATGGAAACTCCCAGGAGGCTAATGGGAGGTCCCCAAGCCGAGCAGGTCCCCAAGCTTCCCCGCACACGGCTTCTCCAGATGAGTTCAGAATCCCTCAGCCGGGCTCGGGTTCCCGTGGAGCCTCCATTTCAGAGCAAGCCTCCTCTGTGATGAGCTGGGCCAGGCAGGACACACGGGAGTTCCCATGCCCATACCAGTGACAAAATCCATTCCAGTCAGGTCAGGAGTGGGTACCAGGAAGTGACCGTCGTCGCTGGGGGTGGGGTTTTCACAGAGGAGGCTTGCCCTGAAATTCATCTCTGGATCAGAGTCCAGCGCCCCCTCAAACAGTCCTCAGCACGGACTCAAAATGAGAACCAAAAAGAATCTCCTTTCAAGTAGAAAGGAACAAGAAGACCTCGGCTTTCTCCTGGGAGAAGCCGTCGTCATCTCTGGGGCCCAGGGTTCGTTTTATGCATGTATTCCTTCAGCAAATGTCACCCAACCCTTGCTGGGTGCAGGAGAGGTCTTGCCCACCCGGGAGGAGTGTCCTCAAACTCAGAAACTGAGAAACTAAGAACGAGCTCCTCTCTCCACTGGGTCCCCAGCGCTGCACGGTGGGACCGGAGGAGCCAAATACAAGCCAAGTTTCCTCCTCCTTCTCCCCGAAGCTAAGACCAGAGAAGGAAACTGAGGCCGGGCTAGCTAGCAAGAGGTAGCGATTTACAAAATGTACTTGTGAGGAGAGCGGGAGAAGGAACACCGAGAGAAGGAACTGAGGCAGAGAGAGCAGGGGAGATGCGAGACGGCGTGGGAAAAGGAGGAAGGGAGCAGCATCCAGGCTGGATTCTCCTTGGGGCCCCGTCCACAACGCTCTAGTCACGTTTTTAATTAGTCACACGATTTTTCCATCGCCCTCAACAAGAGCTTCTCTCTGATTAGTGTTCGAAACAGCCGGCCGATTTTAATCATGGCAAACACGATGATCCCGGCTATGATGGCCTGAGCTACTAAAAGCAGAATATAAAGACCCCAGTAGAGGCGATGATCGGGACCCTCAGCCCTGGCCACCAGCTGGACCCACGCGCGGGACTGCGAGCTGTTAGGCAGCTGGGATGGGACCGGGACTTGCAGAGCGCTCTCGGCTGGAGGGTTGAGAGGCAGGCCTCGAGGGTGCGGGCACCACGGGTCACCCTGCAGCAGGTCCCGGAACGACAGGCCCGCGCGTGGCTCCGGGCCACGGCACAGCGGGGGCTCGCCGTGGCTCAGGAGGTCCTGATGATGGCGCAGCCACTCGAGGAAGGGCCACAGGCCACAGTCGCAGAGCCAGGGGTTGTGGCCCAGCAGGACGTGAGTCAGCTGGGGCAGGGTCGCGAACACGTCTCCGGGGAGCGTCTCCAGCTGGTTGTGCTCCAGCTGCACGGTCTCGAGGCTGCTGAGGTTGAGGAAGAGCGCGCGGGGCAGGGCCCGCAGCCGGTTGTGGCGCAGCGACACCTGGCGCAGGCGGCCGAGGCCGCGCAGCGCCTCCTCCGGGAGCTCGGCCAGGGCGTTGGCGTGCAGCGCGAGCACGCGCAGCTCCCGCAGGCCCTGGAACGCGCCGCGCGGGAGCGCGCTCAGGCGCGGGTTCCCGGTCACGCCCAGCGTCTGCAGGCCGCTCAGGTTGCGGAAGCAGGCGGCGGGCAGCGTGCGCAGCCGGGTGCCGTTCAGCCACAGCTCCCGCAGGCCGGCCATCTCCCCGAACAGCACCTCCGGGAGCTCCTCCAGAGGGTTCTCGAACAGGGTCAGCCGAGTCACGCTGCTCGCGCGAAGGAAGAGCGCGGGCGGCAGAGACGCCAGGCGGTTTCTGGACAGAGTCAAGGAGCTCAGGTTGCCGAGGCTGTCGAAGGCACCGGGTGCGACGGAGCGGAGGTGATTCCGGTCCAGCCGCAGCTCCGTCAGGGCGCCGAGGTTGCCCAGAAGCCCCGAATCCACAGATGCGAGCTGGTTTGAATAGAGCAGCAGTTGCTCAAGCTTAACCTGCGCCGCAAGCAATCCCATGGGCAGGTGGGTCAGGTTGTTTCCCGATAAATCCAACACCTTCAGCTTCCCCAGGCTGGTGAAAAGGTTGGCAGGAAGGGAAGCGAGCTGATTTTGGTTCAAACAGAGCTCCTGCAGGTTAAGCAGTTTCTGAAACAGGTTTTGGTCCAGGTCCCTTAGTGCATTGTGGTTCAAGAACAATTGTTCCAAGAGCACCATCTTATCCAGGAGCGGGCTTGGAAGATGAGCGATTTTGTTGCGCGTCAACCTGAGGGTTTTTAGGTTTATGAGGTCATTGAAGGTGCCGGGGTCGATGGCGGAAATGTGGCTATCTGAGAGCATCAGGCGCTGCAGGACTGTCATGCCACTGAAGCTGTGGTTCCCCAACACGCCCTGGTCCATTCGGAAGAGCAGGATGTGCGTGAGGTTCGTGGGCAGACCCAGCTCGGCGATGCGAGCCACGCTGCCGCCCGAGCACTGCGCCGCATCGCGGACCACACACTTGCAGGTGTTAGGGCAGGGGAAGGGCTGGGCGAGCACCAGTGCGAGCACGGCGCACATCAGGGCGCTCCTCAGCATGTCTGAAAGGAAGGCAAATGACACAAGGCTCAGAGCAGGCCTTGGAGTCCAGCAGCGGCTGCAAACACAGCTCTTCGGCCAGCATTTCCACTGCCTTGGAATGTTGCCCAGATACAACCAAGTCCCCCTCCATTCCTACTAGGGCCGATTAAAACATAAATTTACTTTTCTAGTCAGGGTGTGTGGGTGCTGGAGATTCTAGCTTAGGCTTGCTGAGTACGCATTCTTAATCTACTGAGCCATCTCCCCAGTTCTGTTAAGAGCACTGAAATCTGGGCACCTCCAAGCTACAGAAAGAATACCTTAGAATCTTTATAGAGCGGGCGGTGGTGGCGCACGCCTTTAATCCCAGAACTTGGGAGGCAGAGCCAGGCGGATCTCTGTGAGTTCGAGGCCAGCCTGGACTACCAAGTGAGTTCCAGGAAAGGCGCAAAGCTACAGAGAAACCATGTCTCGAGAAAGAAAAAAAAAAGAATCTTTATAGAGAATGAATTAAAATTCTCAGTCATGTTCAGTCATCACAAGTAGTGTCCACGGGGGAAATTGGCTGTGCTGCTGACTTCAGGGCTGGCTCTGCCCAACAGCCAGGAAGGGAACAGCAGCAAGGCCCACATGATCCATTTTCTTAGAATCATATTGTTAAAGTACCAACACCCAACAACACAATACACCCTCCTTGGACTGCCAAGCTCGGTGAGGCCGGCGGGCACTTTGTACTGTTAACCGTAGGCATGAGGAGGGCAGCAGGCCGAGTCCTCCGACCCACGGAAGTTAAGGAAGTAATCTAAGGGCCACATAGAATTGGAAGGTAGTCTTTCTGACTCACGTTTAAATAATCTGTCTGCTTCTAAGCCAAGCTGCTTAATAAAAAACTACTCTGGACATTGAATTAGAGAACACTAGTTTACTCAGTCTCCCAAGTAAAAATTTGTAGTTCCTCGTACCTTATCTCCTTTTGCGCCCCCCCCCCCCACGGACCCTCTAATTACAGACACTAATTTAAGAACATTTGGCCTTACCTGAAGCGGTTCTGCACCCTGGACTGACTGAAATGCTTACAGCTGTGCTGGTGACTCGGCACTTCACAGAGGAAGAGGGAGTATCCTTGCATCCTGAGGATAAAGACCTTACCAGAAAAAAAGGCAAGGCAAAGACTATCTCAAGAGGGCATATTCTGGGCGTTCATGACAAGAGCTTTCAGACTGTGAGAGGCCGTGGTAAAGAGTCCTGGTGTCGAAGCTAAATGGTAGGAGGCCCAAGTTTTTCCATAAATGGCAAGCTAAAACTAATAACGAAGTTTAGGGATGTATGGATCACTGCGGCAGTCACACCAATAAATGGGTCATTAGACATACATACACACACACACACACACACACACACACACACACACACACACACACATATATATAATGCATGTCACATTGCACCGATTCTCACCCCCTTTTAAAGAAAAAATCATTTACTTGGTGTATGAGTATTTGGGTGCCCATGTGCCACCACCTCACTTGTGGGCGCCAGACATCTCAGGCAGTCAGTTCTGGACTTCCACCACGGGGGGTGCCAAGGACTGAACTCGACATGCCATCAGGCTTGGAGGTACCTTTGCCTGACGAGCCATGTCCTGTGCCTGACATTTTATTTCTTAAATAAGGCTAAAAACTTCTCAAATGCCCCCTCCTTTAAGGGCTCTAGCCACTGTCAATCTTGTTCATTACTGGCGCTGTTCAAGAGCGCATGATCAGTGTCATGTCGGACTGCCCGCCACCGTGGGTCTACAGACATATGTGGGTGTACCACACACCGGGTGAAAACCCCTGTGCGTCACAGCTCTCGCTTGTGCTTGCCACTCTCTCCATCTTGCCATGAATGCCCATCCCTCACCTGGCACGGCTTGGCACGCCCCAGGAGAGCCAAACAGCACATCAAGCCACCGACCTACGGTCTCCAATGGTGTTGAATTCTGCATTTCTGTTTAACGATGAACTTATCTTAGCATGAAGGGCCACCTGTGCTTCGGCCTTGGAGAAACTTGGGTTTCCCTTTTCACGTAAGTGTCTATTTTTTTCCTCCTTTAGACAGTCTTGCTATGTAGCCCAGGCTAGCTTCAAATTTATGATCTTCTGGACGTAGTGTCCTAAATTTTGGGATCAGAGAATGTGCCACAATGCCCAGCTGTGTTCACTTTTGTATATGCAACCTTTATGTAGACATTCTCTGTATGGTCTATTAACCTACTGTCAAGTCATAGGTGTTAAGTAAATCCTTCCAAGGCAGGAGACCCCAACCAATTCCTTGACATGCTCTAAGGCTCTTTTCCTTAGCACTCAGATCTCTGGGGATAAACAGGTTCCTTGGCATGTACCTAAGAGGTGGAATTAGTTTAAATGTTCTTAAATCACTAATTTCCATTTTTATCACAACTCAAGATGATCCTTCAACTGCTTTAAGAACAAAGATCCAGGGTTTAGGGAGACAGCTCAGCCAGTGAAATGCTTGCTTGCAAGCATGAAGACTCATTTAATCCCGAGAACTCACGAGAGAAGCCAGGCATGGTAGACAGATCCGTGGAGCATGCTGGGTAGCCGCACATCGATAAGCTTCAGGCAGCTAACAGACCTTACCTCAAGACACCCACCACACACACAACGTTTACTCGAGATTACAGAAGGGAGCAGTTTGGAGAAGCACTTCTTACAGTACTTTAACAAGTTGGGAAAGAGCCCCCCCTCAGTGTATGCAAGGACACAGACTGTTCCCCCCCGTTTCATTTTCTCCTGTGCTGGAGATTGAGCCCAGGGCTTTGTCCACACTGGGCCAAGCCCTCTACCACTGACTGAGCCAAGTGTAATCAAGCCCAGCAAGGGCCTTCTCAACTGGAACCATCTAGTCAGCTCTGAAGCACAGGGCCAAGGCAATGCCTAAGGTCGGACGAGTTCCTCTAGTTCTCCCCGAGAAGCAATTCTAGAGCCCCAAACTACCAACCTACTCAGTCTGCATTCAGCCCTTCCCCCAACCAGCCCACCACACTCAACAGCCAAGCTGCCACCTTCTCCACCCACTCGGGCAATAAAGGCCAGCAGAGCTGCTTCTCGGGACCCTCTATCTAGTTCTCCCATCCTTGTTCCTCAAGGGCTCCTTTGGGTGCCCAAGGCACACTACACTGATACTGGCTGTTGACTGATCCCAACGGATAGATTAGGTCTCAAGCGTTATTTCAGCATTTCCTCCACTGCTCCCACCCCCCACATTTACCACGTGTCTGTTGTGTGTAACTGCCGGGACTTCCTTCCCTAAGGCAGTTACAGGCCCAAGGGTCATTTGGAAACACTGTAGTTATTCCAAGTTAGGGAGACCAAAAAAGGAAAAGAAAATAAGTAGTAGATCCCGAGAGCTGCATTCACATAACTAAAAATCAAACAAGTGTGTAAAGACCCAGGAAAAATTTGATTCATTAAAATTTTTATTTTGAATAGCTTCAATCAAAAAGATTTCATAAGGCTATTTACAATGCTGAATGTACAATTATGAATATCTACCTTTTTGACAACAGGGTACCATTCTTGAGCAGCAATACAATTTTAAAAATATAAAGATGTGGTATCATTTCTGATATATAAAGTTACTTAAAAAAATCCACGGTCTTAGGGAATTCACAAATCATAACAGGAAGTAACTTTTATTAATTTCATGTGCACATAATTACCAAATTGTAATACATTAAAAATACGTGTAAATGCCCAGACTGTACAAAAGTTAATCCCTATCTTGTTAAAAGTTCCCAGTAACCTCCCACCATAAATATACAAAACCCTTTTCTTCGACACACCAAAACTGCATGCATGAAATTAGATGTTCTCTAAAGCCTGAAGTTGCCCTCACTGCATATGAGCTGCTGCTGCTTCTGGAGCAGGTTTTAAATGTATGTATTATGTATGTATGTGTGTATGTGGGTGTGTGTGCGCACACACAGAGACATGACAGATCATTCACCATGCCCTTGAAACTGTGCAGCACTTTCATCAGCATGGGAAATAAATACAGGGTGTAGAAACGGTGCAACCTGGCAGGCTCTCGAGCGTCAGGCTCTGAAACGGCTAAGTGTCATCGGTCTGTGCCTGGTCTCACCAACACCGCTCTCACCCCAGCACTATCTATCTGCAGCCCTGCTCTACAGCAGGTAGTGCTACAAGACAGAAAACAGTTACCACCATTTGTTTGTATCTGAGGAGGAAAATGACTTGAAACAACCCTGAGGGAGACCCACATTAAAAAATCTTATTTATTTAAAAAGTTAAAAAGTTACATATCATTATTTAACAATTACTTTCCCGGACATTTCTGTCCTTTAAGTATGTGCATAAATAAAATTTAAATCAGCAATATTATCAATCTTAATACATCAAAATAATATATGTACAGATTTTAAAATCTAGGTCTGTATATACTCAAATAATTTAATGTAAAATTCAGAACCCAAATCTCTATATAACAGTGACCTACAGAAGACTCTGTCTACCTACGGCACTAAGCAGGACCCATGTCTGGACTCACAGACATTCCTCACACAACATCCTCACTGGAATAACCTACCCTGTCTATGTTCAAATCTAACTTCCTACAAATGCTTTCTCTCACCTACATAAAACCTTGTTCCTTTGCAAACAATATGGACAGATGAGATATAAACCCTTATCAACTCTAAATATTAAAAGGGATATGTGTCAAAAATAGCCTTTTATGATCATTCTCTTGAGGATGTTAAATACAATTAATATTGGGTTTCTAAGCTGCAGTTAGCAATTAATTATATGCTTCAGCATTTAAACCAAAGAGTAAGACTTAACGATCCAGAAAAATCACTAAAGAATAACATGAGCATTATTTGAAATGAACACGGACAGTATAAAACAATAGAGGATAAGTAACTATAGAAAATAGTGCTAATTCACAGCTCAAGAGGTCTAAGATGCATAGCTTCATAGAATCATTCATGGGAC